TCGTGTCCTTGCTTAGACATGTGCATCCGCGCCAACTTAATCACAAACGCTGTTCCCATTTTGTTTGATGTACACAACGTATATTGTTTGATGTACACAACGTATATTGTTGGAAAGTTCACATAATATCTTAACGTCGCACACTACGCGCGCAAATACAAAGGAATATGATACTTTCTTACGGAGGCAGTGTGGGGTGCAGGGGTGTAAGCCATAATAGTCATATTTTACGTTTTTCACATTATTATTAATAGTAATACAATTGTTATTTATTATTAAACGCTGATATAATTATTTTGTGTACTACTACTACAAATGACTGCAAGCAAAAATATGAAATGCCTTGATAATAGTACTCAGAAAAAAAATATTGTAAGTTAAATTAGTAAAACAGTACTACGAAGCCTAAAACATCATTCTATATCCAATAAGTACTAAAGTTTCGATTGAGCCCGAAATATGAGTCACCAGGGCCTATAATTTTTTTCTCCAGCTCCTACGACGATATAGTACGTGTTTGCTCATCGGCGCCTTTCAATTGTGCTAGTTAACGCGTACACAGGCAGCGCCCTTTGCGTGAGGTGGCGAACCGCAGCTGAAAATGAGAGCAAAATGAAATTTAAGCAGTGCTTTTAAGTACGATGTGTAGACCACATATAATGTGTAAGAAACACAATGTTGATTATAGCCAATGGGGGCCGCCTTCGCTGCGCTCGACAGCTTTTTAGCGAATCGAGGCCGCCTTCGCTGCGCTCGGCAGCCAGTAGAATGCCCGCATTTGCGTTACATTTTAGAACCCTACCCTCGGACGGACTGACAGACGGACGGACAACACACTCCACTAGAGGGGTAAGACTAGCCGTTCGCCGCCGCTACGCGGCGGAGTGGCATGGTTTGTTGGAGATGAGGTGGCCGCAAATTTAAGTGCTTCTTGGTGTCGCGTGTTTTGAGAGCGTGGTTCACCCCGTAGATCTTGGCATCGTGTATTTAACCACTTGCCTTTCCGTAGTATCATGTGGACCCGTACAATATCGTGATTTGGTACATTTCGGTTATCCGTACTACAGGTTAGATCTCATGTTCTACAGTGGCCGGCGCTCTTCCG